CTTGATGAGACCGCATTCAATGCGGTAAGGCTCGGAAATGAAAGGCAATAAATGCTCCTAATACAGAGCATTTATTGCATCCTCCCCGAGAGGAGTACATTGTACCGTCGGCATCCCGATGACCCAGCATTGATTGCTCGGGACCCCGAGCAGTTAAGAAGAGAAGACATTCCTCATCAGAATCAGTGCGCACACTGCCTGTACCTAATGATCACCTACTGACTACACTGACAGCAATCATGAGCTTTTGAGGTATAAATACTCCTTGCAAAAGGCAAGACGGGTATGCAACAAAAAACTCTTTACTACAATACACACTCAGTGTTTTCTCCTTCCTCTCTCTTTCTCAAAGACTGACTAGATCGTCGGAGGGGATACGCCGGAAAACACTCCGGCGCCCTTCTAACTTGTTCTTCTTTGTTCCAGGAACCTCTTTCAGCCTTACTGGATCGTTCTTCCGCTCCCCCAAGGTCTCCCGTTGCCGTTCCAGGTTACCACCGGACCTCGCAGGCTGTTCCAAGCAGCGTGGTTGGTCACTCAACTGGCTCACTCGAGTTCACCAAGGGAGAGATTTGTTCTCGTTTTTTATATTGTGCAGGATCTTGCACGCACAATTAATATAAAGAAGGAGGGAGATAGGGATCGATGTAGTTATTTGCTTAAAATTACTTCATTTGAGTGAGAGCAAGTCAATAAGAGTGCAAGTGGTGTTTCATTTTAAGTTATGTTTGCGNAGTCATCGAAAAACAAAAAGGGATAGGAGGAAGAAAAGAAAGAAACTAGGACTCACCCGAATGTCAAACATAGTTTTTTCTGGAAAACTTTAGGCGACTCCTTCCAGAAAGTTCAGAAGCAACGATTGGTCTGCTGGCCTAAGACTTTAAGGAAGAATGGGCAGTCAACGATGGAAGAGATCTCCGACGAAGATTCAGGAAAAGGCTCTCTTGAGGAAGTTTGGAATGGCGAAACAAGAAAATGCAAGAGGAACCCCATTTATATAGTGGTTGTTTCATTATTGGGCGCGAAAAACGAAACGGCGCATTTAATGCACACGATATCCTAAGCCGGGGAAAGCGGCTCGAGGCAATGATGAAGCATTTGTGGTTGTTGGGAAATCCTTCGTCTCCTTATGACGCGTGCCATCGGTGTCAGAAGATCGAAGGCTGGGGGCAGTTGATGAGACTTTTCTGAAATATTCNACGGGGATGCAACAAAAAACTCTTTACTACAATACACACTCAGTGTTTTCTCCTTCCTTTCTCTTTCTCAAAGACTGACTAGATCGTCGGATGGGATATGCTAGAAAACACTCCGGCGCCCTTCTAACTTGTTCTTCTTTATTCCAGGAACCTCTTTCAGCCTTACTGGATCGTTCTTCCACTNTCCATGATGAAGACACGTGTCCTCGGTATTACCAAAACACTATTGCTAAGATCAAGCACCATCGGCGCGCAAAGGTCCTCTCCCTCGAGGTACTCGTCATATAAGATCATGGCATTCAGTATGTTTTACAACCGACACGTAGCCTCGTCTGATATGGTACCTCGGTCGGTATACCTCCCTCGGGTCCGAGATGAGCCTTTCCTCGGTGCCGAAAGGTACCCCGTCTTGGACGCCTCCTCTACTCCAGGATAAGTTATTGACATACAGGTCATTAGCCTAGGCTAGTCTAGGCTATTCAGCATGACCTCGTCTTACACAATTAGTGTCAGAACGTATAGGAATGCAGGGGCCATAGCCAATGGGGGATGGACGCGTGGCATATGATATCACATCGAAGACAGAGAAACCGCATGCCGTTGCTGACACGCGACTTGGGAAAGCAAACNAGGCTATTCATCATGACCTCGTCTTACACAATTAGTGACAGAACGTACTGGAATGCAGGGGCCACAGCCAATGGGGGATGGACGCGTGGCATATGATATCACATCGAAGACAGAGAAACCGCATGTCATTGCTGACACGCGACTTGGGAAAGCAAACTATTAATTACACCATTCCCTTGATGAGACCGCATTCAATGCGGTAAGGCTCGGAAATGAAAGGCAATAAATGCTCCTAATACAGAGCATTTATTGCATCCTCCCCGAGAGGAGTACATTGTACCGTCGGCATCCCGATGACCCAGCATTGATTGCTCGGGACCCCGAGCAGTTAAGAAGAGAAGACATTCCTCATCAGAATCAGTGCGCACACTGCCTGTACCTAATGATCACCTACTGACTACACTGACAGCAATCATGAGCTTTTGAGGTATAAATACTCCTTGCAAAAGGCAAGACGGGGATGCAACAAAAAACTCTTTACTACAATACACACTCAGTGTTTTCTCCTTCCTCTCTCTTTCTCAAAGACTGACTAGATCGTCAGAGGGGATACACCAGAAAACACTCCGACGCCCTTCTAACTTGTTCTTCTTTGTTCCAGAAACCTCTTTCAGCCTTACTGGATCGTTCTTCCGCTCCCCTAGGGTCTCCCGTTGCCGTTCCAGGTTACCACCGGACCTCGCAGGCTGTTCCAAGCAGCGTGGTTGGTCACTCAACTGGCTCACTCGAGTTCACCATGGGAGAGATCTGTTCTCGTTTTTTATATTATGCAGGATCTTGCACGCACAATAATGCATAAACTTTTACCTTTTCACTCAATTTTGATTCTATTAGACTCATTATCCTAACAACCTCTTTCTCTTTTAGTCCCTACTTAGCCAACATTCATCTATTGATTATCAATACCTCATTTTTGTTAATCTTTTAGGTTACTAATTTAGTATAACCTGCTATTCTTACACAGTTGAATGAAGGACATTTTAATCCTATCGTAGGGTCATAGTCTTGTGTCAAGTATGCCATTTCTCACCCTTGAACATTTCTTATGTCCATGTCCTAATTTATGCTATTCTTTTTGTATGCTACCAAGCCTATAAGCAATTAGTTAGTAAAAAAAACATTATATAAAAATAACATTTATCTAGTAAGTAAGTAACCTAAGGATTATAATCATGAATCAATAATGCCTTAAAGCTCTTGCAGTACACAATATACCAATTTGAAGATAGTTGGGTTGCAAAATAAACCAATCCTAAGAGAGAATATGGGTGACTTTTATTACATTGTATTACCTTCCACCTAGAGATTTAGACTAATTGCCATCCTTAACTTTTTCCAAGCTTTCAGAAATTCAATTCAGTCTTGAGATTTTTCATTTTTTAACAAACTTGAAATAATAATCTAGCCTAGCCTAGTAGTCTTCCGGTGCTAACAACACATACAACCAAATTAATTTAAATCAATGCATACAGAATTTTATCGAGCACTGCCAAGTATATAGTTTGTATAGATTTTAAACTTTTTATTAACATTGGAACCGCGTTTAATAATTTATGAAACTGATAATAATATTGGAACTCACGACTTCCATAGAAACATATAGTGCAAGAAACACATTGGGAAAAAAAATAATATATTTTTCTTTATGAAAGGAAACATATCTGAACAACAAGCGCATAGTTCAAAAGGGATTGTCCAAGACCCAAAGATGAGCGCGCCACTACCTGTAAATTATAGTTTCTTCCGTGATTGTACGAACTACACAAGCATTTCTCTTCTCAGATTTCGAAAATGTGATGGACAAACCTGTAAATTCATTTACCTGACACCTACACTCACCGTCATTCAATCCTCTCTACGTGGCTTTCTTTGCCAAGCCATTGGTGTTTCCAGTTTTTCTGTTGGGTGATGAGTTGGATGTCAAACAAAATCTTTAGCAACAATTGATAAATTGATAGGAATCCGGGAGAGCCCATGCATGCTTTCCATTTTTTTGTCAAGCCCATGAATCACTCTTAACTTTATCTATATAGCATCAGCATTTGGCTGTTTTTATATGCTTTGTTATCTAGGGCTTTTGGAGAGTGAGAGTGGGTTTTAGTGAAATTGAACTGGTTTTTTTTTTTTTTTTTTTGGGTTTGGTGCTGAGCTCAAAATGGCTTCTACTTCTTCTTCTCAGAAAGAGCAAGAAGATGAGCTCAAAGAGGCGGGAAATTCACTTCTTAGGCCACCTTCCTCGGTTGATGAACTCCTGAACCTATTAGATGTAAAAACCCTGTTGAAATACTCTCTCTTTTATATCTTTCTGTTGTTTACATGGACAACCACACACAAACACACATTTGTTTCAGAATCAATGTTGATTTTTTGTTGAATTGATTATGGTTTGCTGAAATGAAATCCTTGGTTTCATTTTTGCCGTTGTTTATTGGTAGAAATAGGTACTTTAGATGAGTTGATGATTGTTTGAAAGGGTCTAATCTCTGATGTTGCTTCTTGATATAAACTGGTTCTTTTAAATTGTTGATGATTGTCTGCTTAATCAGTGGTTGGGCAATTTAGGGTTAATGTTTATTAGTGTTATATAAGGTATCTTCCTCTAATAGGTCAATAGGCAAATTTTTGTAGCTTGGTTCTAGAATCAATCTCTGGGTACTTAAAGGATTCTTGCTTGATTTTTATTTTCTCCACTTTTTGTTACCATTGCTATTTGGTTATAATGGGTTGATGATTGCTTGTTCCTGTTGGTCTGATTACTATGAGACGAGGGCGTTAGGCATTGCATAAATTTGTTGCAGTTGCTTGCTGTGAATATTTGGTATATCAGACAGTTTTAATGGATTTCTGTTCAACTAAGGGTTTGCTTGTAGGTTTAGGTTTGTGAAATTTAATTGGGTTTTCCAATACCGAACTAATTACTAAATTTTGTTCTCTATCTTGGTTCTACCTGTCACTGTTCACCTCAAATTGTAGTTGTTGTTATGTCCTTTGGGATGAAATATTAATCTGACCTATGGTTTAGGGTACCTTTCACTAGGTCAACTGCTGGTTGATGTAGGGTTTTGAGAGACTCTTACATGTGGAAGGTGTTGCAAAGCTAATTCATCAAGGACAAAGCCTGTGGAATTAAATGATATATCAATGCCTAAACAGGAAATGTTGGGGACTATATATGTTAATCATGCAGGACAAAGTTAATGAATCCCAAAAAGGATGATGTGTACAACTAATCTTTTGGTGTACCAAGTTCATGGGAAGTTTGTCAGTTTTAGTGTCTCCTGCAAGGCGTGACATTATTGTAAGTTTTAATGGTTAAGGGAAACGAAAGCATTCACGGTTGTGGATCGGATGGTTATATTGTCTAGGGTGTCCGTTGCTTGGGAAAAGCCATATGGTAGGAAAATGGTTGGTATTCCTGAGTTGGGAGTAAGGCTTGTTATTCTAAACCAGCAACATTGAGACTTATTGAGAAGCAGCAGTACCGCAGTGTACATTCTCCTTGCATGCACTAAAAGCTTGGATTCCTTTCAAGTGTTTGCTCATTTTGTTGTCTATCGGGCTTGTTTTGAGTTTCCTTCTCATTTCAAAAGTAATGTGTTTGTGAATAAAATCATTTTCACAAGAAGAAATCAGAGAGAATTTTTTTATTTCTTTTTTTCCAGGTAAGAACAAACAGAGAGATCAATCTCACAAAAGGTGAATTTTCTCTTTTTCATTATCTGTTATTTTCTAGTGGGAAAAGGTTCACTTGATAGCTTTTTGTTTTTTTCACTAATTTTCCTGAATTAAACACGGGAAAATTGAATATTTAAAGGATGAAAGAGAGGGAGGGAGACCTTGACTCCTTGAAGACTTGGTTAACATTTTGAAACCATTTTTAGTACCTGGATGGTTTATAGTGGCAAGAGCTTTATTGATAAAAAAAAAAACGAGAAAGTTTCTAGAATGCAGTGAGGATTATTTGGATTCTTGTGAATAATGATGGCAAAAAAATTGTCTCCTTTTTAAGTTGCTCATTTTCATACTCATGACAACAAGTGACCATACATGTTCTGCTATTCTTGCTGATGTGCTTGAATCACATTTTGGCTCTCCTTTTGTCTTTTGACAATATATATTATTTTTGGTTTTTCTTCTTTCTGACCAAAGGTGGCAATATTTGACATACTTTATGATTCTTGAATTTGTCTCTCTTCTGGAGATTGACTTATCTGGTGCTTTAACTTTGTTATACTGTATTTATTTAACTTTTTTTTGTTTTGCGTAACTGTGTCTTTTAGAAAGTAGAGAGCCTCTTATCCATGGTATGGCAAGCACCCTCCAAATCAATGCTAGATGCACTTCTACCCTCAATGAATGCACTGATCGCTGATCAACTATTGAGGCACTCTGATATAGATGTGAAAGTTTCGGTAGTATCTTGCATTACTGAGATTACAAGAATAACTGCACCGCAAGAACCTTACAATGATGAAAAAATGAAGGTACTCGGAGCATTTCAAATACTTGTTTCCCTATAAATGAAACTGATGCTTCGTACTAAATTTTTTTGTGTGGCACTTCATTTAATTTATTTTTTCACCTACAACTGTGACTAATATGTGTGCATGTCTGAGAAATTTAAGAACTGTTACATGGTTTCCTGCTTTTCCATTGGATTGGTGCACAGGAAATTTTCCAGTTGACAGTAATGGCATTTGAGAAACTGTCGTATGTGCCTGGTCGCTGCCATTCCAAGGCCCTACAGATTCTTGAGACTTTTGCAAAAGTCAGGTCATGCTTGTCGATGCTGGATCTAGAGTGTGATGCATTAGTTGTTGAGATGTTTCAACAATTTTTAAGAATCATTCGGTAAGATCTGGAGCCTTGCATGCCTTATTGTTAAAATATAACAAACTTTATTCAGCTTTGGCGAAATTGTTCCACTTCTTAAATGATTATGCTTGACCAGAAATTAAAGTTTAAAACACAGGTCAACATCTTATTTAGTTTTGAACTTCTGTCTACAACCCTAACATTCTTCCACTTCTGGAATTCTCTGCGTGCAATGCGTCTTAAGGTTAATCCTTGATGCGGACACATGGTAAACTGTTTTACGATATTTTATTAATGATCATGACTAATCAAGCATTATGCATGAAGATTTATAGAATTCTCCTTGTGTTGAGTAAATGGTGGGTCTAGTCAAAAATTGGGTGGAGCTGGTATAGTCCATTTCTTCGTGTGTTGTGCACACGTGTATGGTACATTGTACGTTTTGACATATATGTATGTGCTACGCGAGGTTATGAATGAAATTGTTTGACATGCTAGTGATGGTATATTTCTTCTAAAATGATTAAACCTGATTTTGATGTTGCTCAATGTTAAGGTCCAATCACCCTCATGCGGTATTCACAGACATGGAAACAATCATGACAATGGTCATAGAAGAAAGTGAAGAAGTCTCATTTGATCTTTTGCATCCTCTCCTATCTAGTGTCAAAAAGGAAAATCAGGTAATCACCTTTTTCTTGATTTTTGTTTCATCATGTTGTTTGCCATATTTTCTGTATGATTTTATCCAACATGTGTATTCTTTGTTACAGAATGTTTCACCTCTTTCGTGGAAGTTGGGAGAGAGAGTCTTAGAAAACTGTGCTGCTAAACTCAAACTTTATCTCCCAGACGCAGTGAAATCCATGAGCTTGGACGTAAATGAATATGCTCAAATAGTAGCTTCAATATGCCAGGATGCGCCTGGAAGAGAACATATGGTGTGTTTCTTTTATGTTCAACTTTGTTATATCGAAAGTGGATTGATTCTTGCTTTAACGGAGTGCATTTATGCTTACCGAGTCTCAATCATGATACATTCATTTTTGTGGTATTTTAATCACAAATCCCCAATTCCTCTCATCCCAAAAATTTTCTTCTTCTGGATAACCGTTGACAGAGGATCAAAATAGAGTTCAAACTGTTTCATGCCTTCCTCTACACCTTCCCCTATATTGGAAGCCTACCATTTTACTTTATTTGCTTGTAGGGGTGGAGCCAGAATGTTTTTGCAGTTGTGTTTTTTTTTTTTTTTTGGGGGGGGGGTACTTAAGTTAAAACCATAATGAAAACCAATCAATCGAGATAATTTATATTGAAATGTAATTTATTCCAGTCAAATTTTAAATATCAGGATTCAATTTTTAAGAAACTAAAAATTAGGAATCCAATTTTTGAGACAACACTGACCGAGAGAGAAAATTAAAGAGAACAGTCAATGACAACTATTAAACTTGTCATGATTTCACAAATAGATTTTGAGTGATAATAATTAGTGACTTGGTGTACAAGGCAAAGGGAGAATCGGAGATAAAAGAGATATTGAATATAGGGTGAGGACACTGAATCGTACAAAAGAAACATAAGTCCAAATTTTTAAATATGGAAGAATCTAATTTTTTACTAATAAGGAATAGTGCTATTGTGGTCTAAAATCTATTTTAAATTGTTGATCTAATGATGCGATCGTGGAGACGTTAAAATAATATTATTCTAATTAGAACTCTGGGATTCATTCTTTGAGACCAAATCATTTAGCACATTACTAGGTCAATAAATTAGTTTAAATTTTTAGATCCAAAATTTTTATTAAAATATAGAAGCAGTGTAGATTTATACAAATTTTTACTGGGGGCAAATTTTTAAAAATTATAAATTTATAAACATATCAAAACTATCCAAAATATTTTCAAAATTGCACTGAGGCGAGTTGCCCCCATTGCCCCCAGTGTAAATCTGCCATTGTTGGCTTCAGTTCAACTTTTCTATGGCTGCCCTAAAAGATTCACACCGAAACCAACGGTCAGAACACTGGAATCTCCATCAAAATTTTCATGATCTTATAGTTATTGTTGTGATATTGTCCCTAAATCTCGATATGTTGCAAAAAAAAATCAGAAGGTAAGAACTATTATGGAACCATGCATGTCGAGCAGTTATTTTTTACTAAAGAAGATTCATGCTAAATGGTCTGGCTGCACATACGATAAGTTCATTGCATCTGGGAACAGGTGTATTTATTTGTTTGGTTTTTGAAATTGTGGTTTATTGACTCGAAAAGTTCACATGCTACTGGAGGAAGGCCATGTGGATCTTGGTGGTTGAAATTGGTAATGCATTGTCATTGTAGTGGTAGTGATGCATGCAAAAAGATGATCAGTATGCTGATAGGTTATATAGTGTTGCAGAATTATTCTTGCTGCTACATTCATATGTGTGAAAAATAAATTCTTTCTTTTAATCAGGCTGATAAAGAGGTTCCACCAAATGCTGATTCTCTTCCAGAAATTTGTCCATCCAATTCAGCAATGGGTGATGGCCCCTCTGAAACAAGGAATAATGATGCCATGGATGATGATATTGCTTCGAAGACATTAGAACGGTGTCATCAGACTAAGCAGCACAAAAGAACTGATGCAAGAAAGGATTTCCAACCTGAAACTTTTGATGCCACAAAAGCAGTGCAACCAGAAACAGAGGCAGCAGTTCCAAAGAAAAGGGGTAGAAAACCCAATTCTCTGATAAAACCAGAGGAGGGATATAATCATTCTTGGATTAGTGGGGGCAACCGATCTCTTGAAGTGTCTTGTCACACGAATCATCTGGAGAAGAAAGTTGGTAGTTCAGCAAAAAGTCCAGTTTCCAAGGAGTTGGCTTTGCCATCAGACCCAGAAAAGGAGACAAAGACTTGTGTTATTCCACCAAAAACATCACTTGGTGAAAGCATGAGTGCTTCCCTATCTCAAAACCATAGTACTCCCGATGGTAGCCATCGCAGAAGGGGTCGGCCAAAGAAGAAAGAGAACATGGTAAGTCAGGATGTTGGTCTGGATATGCCATCAGTTCCAGTGCAAGACTTGGTGAGAACTCGTGGTAAGGGGAAAGCTTCATGGTCTGCAGATGTTGGTTTGGGAAAGGAATCTGGAAACACAAGAGATTTAATAGCAAAACCCAGGAACGGCTCAAGGAAAAATGAACGTGCTGCTAAGACTAATATGAAGACAACTCTGTCTCTTAACGATGCAGTGGTAAAGAGGGAAGAAGGGTTCCTTACTGATCCAGAAGGGAAAAAAGAGTCCTCAATTCATTACCATAAGAAACAGAGAAAGGGGAAAACTGCTTCTGAGAAGCATGTTAAGGAAGAATCTGGAGACAAGGTACAAACAAAAATGGCTTGTAATTGTTCTTTGGCAATTTTTACTGTGATTATACTGCCTCTAAGTTACCAGTTTTTAATGAATTCTATCTTTTTTTTTTTTTCTGGTGAGCTGTGTAGAAAATGGTCTTTCAATCTGCTACCAAATTTTTAGACAGAGATGAAAACCAGTTGGGCGAAACTTCTAAGACCAAATACAAGAGAAAGCAGAGTCCACGAAAGGAAGAGGTATCACTCTACCTTTAGGTTCAGGATTTCTGGTGTTGGTGTATGGTTAAAATGTCAATATATTGATGTGTTACACTATGATTAGTAGGACATTGATGTGTTAAACTATCCAAAGAAATAAGTGATTATGTTAGTAAATTGTTATATCCATGATAATACCTTGCGTGTTAGGTTTAGATACAGATTTGGTTGAGTGATAATTCTGTGGAGTCAGGAGTGCTTCTTGTGAAATACTAATAATGGAGAACATAAGTTGCTCAATAGGCTCATTAAATTCTCTCATGATATATTTACATCAAGCCAGTTATCTTACTAGTTGAAGTAACAATTTAAGTTTCTGTAGTCTAGGTGAGTGCTGATTAATTTCCCTTTGGAAGTATGAATGAGAGCTATACTGTTACTTCCCGGTGAATTATTTGATTTGAAGTTTGAAATGGCTATGGTAGAACCAAAACTTCCTTGACAAGTAGTCTTTCTGTTAATTGTTTGCCTAGTGGTACTCTTTTTTTTTTTTTTTTTGAACTTGTGCCTAGTGGTACTCTTGAACTGCTCATTCTGACAACCTAGTGCTAATTTGTTACGGGGGCAAGTTATTGCTGATTTGGCTTGTTTAGTTGGTAACATTGTAGAGATAGCCGACCTAAAAAGGAAACAGAATTTTACAATGGCAACATTGTAATAGTGCTAGAATCTACATACTGATCAAACTATGAAGGTCAGGCACTGATACTGGATTAAGCCCATGATTTTGGTTTTCCCCTCTGTGCTAATGTAAGGGTGTTTTGTTTTGATTGGACACAGTAGTTGCGTATGAAATCTTTCAATATTTGGAAATTACTATAATGGGAGTGTTTAATCTAGAAATTTTTATTGGGACTTGATGATTTTCGTTTACTTTCGAAGCAATAATACACAAAACTTTTGCTAAATAATTTTAATGTGTGAATTGTATGTTTGTTGCACCAATTATTGCCTTGCCATATGGGATGTTTCATATTGAGCACATTTATTTCTATATCTTCAGAATTTTTTTAAAATGAGTTTTACAATAGTTTTGCTTCCAGGTCATTTGTTCTGTTTCTCATCTGATTTTCTCAGTCTCTTGATGGTGTATTCTCTGCCTGAGTTGATTGCTATTTTTTTCCAATTCAGGATTCCAAAATGAGTCATCTTATCAAAGACTACGATGAGGAATTGGTTGGTTGCAGGATCAAGGTTTGGTGGCCATTGGACCGAAAGTAAGTACTCTAGGGATGTTGATTTTGTGTTGTCTTTTCATTAATATTCTTTCCTCCTGATATTTATCAGTATCTGGATAGTTTCATTAAGCCGGCTCTCAACTACCTAATATAACCCTAAGGTGAAGAGCGATAGCGAAACCCTTAAGTCTTATTATTTTGTTCCCGAACAACGACCATTCATTACAGCTGGCCTGTCCAAACAATGACAGGCCGGTCCGGGCAAGCTATATTATGGAACTGATCTGATTGAACTGGGTCTAATGGAACAAGATCTCGATCTCTCATTTTATTGGGCTTGGGACCGGCTGCCTATGGAAAAGAATAGGCATTAAGCATGCACAGATGAAGTTAAATGAGAAAAAATTGACATGCCAATAATAGTTACAGTAAGTCTTATATAGCACACACACACACACACACACACACAGACATGGAGCCAGGAGGGTTGGAGGCTCGAATCCCCACCAACTGTGAGTTCAGATGGTCTCAATGCCACAAGCCATCCCATTTTTTACAGTACATGTCTACTTTATTATAGGCATATATGGAAAAGATAATCTTAATAGTAGTCTCCACAGGTTAGTAGTTTCGGTACAGGTTACTTTATCTTCTCAGATGGTACGCACAGGATTATGTTTACATACCAATACAAAACTGGTTTAGATTAAGTTCGGCTGGATTGAATGCATACCGAAAGAATCAATATCTTTAGCTGAAACACTCGAATCTGAGCTATTGCATGCAGAAGCCCACTCAACATGGAGCTACAGATTTTTCCATGTGTTTGACCAGTTTGATGAACCATTTGTACTGTTCTCCTCTGCACTTGACATTTATTTCTGGATGGCTTAGCCCCAAAGATCCTGCATTGGTGTGGACCATCTCTTAACATTGATGCAGACCAAACTATGAGCCATTTGTTTCTTTTCTGTATGTCCTTGTCTGATGAAATCTGCACTGGTGATATTGTAAATTTTGATGATGTTTTCTCATTCTCTGCATTCTTTTTGTGCAGGTTTTACGACGGAGTTATTTCTTCTTTTGACCCTGTGAAAAAGAAGCACCAGGTGTGAAGATCATATAACTATACTGCACAATGTGCCATAAAATTATACAACTCCTCTAAATGTGTCCCTGGATCTGTTTCATGATCTCCTTTTCTTTTCCATTCTTTTTCCATTTTTGTTTGGGCCTCTTGGCTCTATCTGGTGTCAAAAATTGAAGTATGACTTTTCTATTGTAATATGTGGCTAAAATCTCTCGATATTAATTAAGTCACGGTTAGTGGTCAAATCCGGAATAAATAAAATCCCAATCCGTTGGTTAACTATTGCATTATTCATAACATATATCATAGATGCATTTTTTGTCATATTATTATACATTAAATATTATTTTATTATGATGTATGCACACATATATATTACATTGATATAATTGGATGTTTGAGTTGGATCTTTTCTAGTCAGTATGAGTGACTTGGCTAGAGGGACCCATCAAGTAGTGAAAGATTAGTTAATCCTACTTGGAGTATAATTAGCCTTCTTTGACTGTAGAGAGTTGAGGAAAATATTGGTGGAGTTGAGAAAATTTTGGGGGAGTCAAAGATATTATGCTGAGTGGTAATAGCTAGTTGAACGACAAGTTGATATATCCTCTCATAAATAAGTTTGTCCGCATACAGAAAAAATACACCTGAAAACACCCAATTTGAGAGAAAATCCCAACTCTATTGCTTTCATATTAAAGATAATTTTTAATTCTCAAAAGCTAGCTCCCCATTCATCAAATTTAGCAAATTCTATTCCGCAAATTCCTACATTTTCAACCGATGACAAATACGCTCTTGGTCTTCCTATCGCTAATGCATTCTTATCACCTAAATGTGACTAATCATTTCTTGTCCTAGAATATTCGACCAGCTTAGCTGATTCCTTCTTGTTTAATTTGTTTCTAAATTTGACCTCCTTTCTTATGATTCTAATAATACTACTTCTTCTATGGCTTTCACTGCAGGTTTTATATGCTGATGGTGAGGAAGAAATCTTGAACCTCAGTAGGGAACGCTGGAAGCTAGTTGAGGAAATGTCGGAAGACCGAGGCGGCGATTTGCGAGATTCTGTATCTCCCTTTTGCTTGCTTGCTATTTGTTTGCTTTTCCTACTTTTTCAGCTTTCAGTGTGCTTTTCTCTTATACTCTATGTAATGTGATTGTTTAGACACGACAGGAACAAGAGACTGAACTTCCAAGACCCGCTGCTTTATCTGTTATGTAAGTGTTCCTCTTAGCTTTCGTGATTTTCCTTTTGATCCATGCAAAATGTTTTGTTATGCATAATTTCATAGCTAGTTCTCTGGGTCCCTAGTTCCAACTCTTAAAAATATTTGAACATTAGTTATCTTGTTTAGCACCCCCAAAAAATGGCATCCTTGGTTTTGTTTATTAAAATCTGCATCACATTTATATGCATAATTGGGGTTGCAGAAACAAAACTGTTATTATTGCCACTATTTTCCAGGTTGTGCCTTACGCATCCTTTGACACATGCTCTTTGTAGAAAATAAAACACCAAATTACATTGACATGATATGTAGTTAGTCATTGCCTTTTATAATCATAATCCTTTCCGTAAAATAAGCCAATTGTTCTGACATCCATTAATTTCAAATTTTTTCTTTCTCAAATTGTAAGAGTTATTGCTTCAATCATCATGAACTAGATAATTCCACAGGAATCCCAGTTCATCTGAACTCTCAGCTCATTAATGGATGGATAGAAGAAATGCAGGAATGCTATTGGAATTTGATCCTACGTTAAACACTTGTTAACTTCCTCCATATCTGATTTATCCTGGTCTATCGTTGTATCATCCTATATCCGATACTCATTTGGGACATTGTGTATTGTTAACCTAATCGATTTGTCTTCTTTTTTTCATCATCATGTATACATCATTGTCATCACGCCTGTTTTTTATTCTTCTGCTGATGTAATATATAATACTGTTGCACATGCTCTGATATGGAAATAGTCTTAAAAGTGTTGACTTCTGTTGGATATGCCCCCGTGCTCATGGGAATGTGTGTGTATGAGGACAGAGGTCACATTGGACCAATATAACTTTGTGAAGCATAAGCCATAATATGCATACGAGATGTAAGATGATTTCTACATTCCCCCTCAAGCTGGACCATTTATTCATCCATGCCCAGCCCTTCGTGCACATCCGCACAATCACAGTTTTCTATGCTTCCTTACACAGGACCGCTTTGTTTTTTCTTTAAACAAGATCACTTACAAACACATTTGAAGCTTCCTTATGCATACTTGGNCTTCTTCTATGGCTTTCACTGCAGGTTTTATATGCTGATGGTGAGGAAGAAATCTTGAACCTCAGTAGGGAACGCTGGAAGCTAGTTGAGGAAATGTCGGAAGACCGAGGCGGCGATTTGCGAGATTCTGTATCTCCCTTTTGCTTGCTTGCTATTTGTTTGCTTTTCCTACTTTTTCAGCTTTCAGTGTGCTTTTCTCTTATACTCTATGTAATGTGATTGTTTAGACACGACAGGAACAAGAGACTGAACTTCCAAGACCCGCTGCTTTATCTGTTATGTAAGTGTTCCTCTTAGCTTTCGTGATTTTCCTTTTGATCCATGCAAAATGTTTTGTTATGCATAATTTCATAGCTAGTTCTCTGGGTCCCTAGTTCCAACTCTTAAAAATATTTGAACATTAGTTATCTTGTTTAGCACCCCCAAAAAATGGCATCCTTGGTTTTGTTTATTAAAATCTGCATCACATTTATATGCATAATTGGGGTTGCAGAAACAAAACTGTTATTATTGCCACTATTTTCCAGGTTGTGCCTTACGCATCCTTTGACACATGCTCTTTGTAGAAAATAAAACACCAAATTACATTGACATGATATGTAGTTAGTCATTGCCTTTTATAATCATAATCCTTTCCGTAAAATAAGCCAATTGTTCTGACATCCATTAATTTCAAATTTTTTCTTTCTCAAATTGTAAGAGTTATTGCTTCAATCATCATGAACTAGATAATTCCACAGGAATCCCAGTTCATCTGAACTCTCAGCTCATTAATGGATGGATAGAAGAAATGCAGGAATGCTATTGGAATTTGATCCTACGTTAAACACTTGTTAACTTCCTCCATATCTGATTTATCCTGGTCTATCGTTGTATCATCCTATATCCGATACTCATTTGGGACATTGTGTATTGTTAACCTAATCGATTTGTCTTCTTTTTTTCATCATCATGTATACATCATTGTCATCACGCCTGTTTTTTATTCTTCTGCTGATGTAATATATAATACTGTTGCACATGCTCTGGTATGGAAATAGTCTTAAAAGTGTTGACTTCTGTTGGATATGCCCCCGTGCTCATGGGAATGTGTGTGTATGAGGACAGAGGTCACATTGGACCAATATAACTTTGTGAAGCATAAGCCATAATATGCATACGAGATGTAAGATGATTTCTACATTCCCCCTCAAGCTGGACCATTTATTCATCCATGCCCAGCCCTTCATGCACATCCGCACAATCACAGTTTTCTATGCTTCCTTACACAGGACTGCTTTGTTTTTTCTTTAAACAAGATCACTTACAAACACATTTGAAGCTTCCTTATGCATACTTAGCATTAATTGAAAGTTAGGTCACCCGCATTTTAATTGGATGTGTTGGTGCATAGTTGCACTGGTTATGTGTGATTTAAAATACTTATAAGCTTCCTTTCTCTTTATCTGATTACAAGAACCTAGTTCTATAGTGGATATAATATTTCCTCTCTATAGCGATAATCCAGGCGGTTTATTCCCCAAGCCTTTTGAATATAATGGCCTAGAATACTAACTATTTCTAGCGTCAATCTCTTCTTATTCATTTGTACCTTATCAATTGATGCTGCTATCCATGTACATTCTGGATTGTTAATGGACCCTTTTCTTTTGATCCTTTTGTTGGTGAAACTTCCACTTCATAAACATACTGATTCAGTCTTGACTTTCGTTATGCATGGCACTTATTAGTGCAGAATGAGAGTAGCAATGGAGCGTTATCAAACAAATAGAAACACTAGTCAAAAGAAATACCATCAGGCAATTCCTGAATTGGCATTAAGTAGCATAAAGAAAAAAACTGTATCCAACCTATACACCGTGACATGTAAAATGAACCCACGGGAATGACAATGAATTATTCTATGTATGCCACAGATATGATTTGTGTCATGGGCTGCTATTTCGGTTTTCATTTTCTTGACTGACATCTAGTGGTTTTTGGTTGTCGTCTGGAGCAGGCCTCGGAAGAAGGCAAAGACAAAATCAGATTCCTCATTAAAGAGGAAAAACAATGTGTCTTCATCAAAACGGTTGGTTTTTAAGTATTTGTGATCATTCTCAGGTTTTGTTTGTCCAGTGGACATTGCACTCCTAACTAAGAATTCTGCGGTTTTTCTGACAACAGAATAACTTCTTCTGACAAACTCAAAAGTGAAGCTCCAAGATCTGGCAGCAAATCTGCAGATGGTTCTACACCTGATGCTCATTGCATTGGCAGTAAAATTGACGATAACAAAACCGAAACAGGTAACTTGTTAGATGGTGATGGTAAAAAATCTAGCGGCAAACCAAAGACTCAGACACTAGGGACTACCATGAAGCGTAAGCATGGCACCTCCCAGCTTATAATTAAGTTCAAAATTGAAACCCCCAAAGTTGAGAGTCAATCCTGAACTAGCAGAGCGAGAGAGAGAGATCATCTCCGTGAATCAATATATGGAGGAAGGGACCATGCCAAGTCAGTTGATGCACAAGCAAATGAGGATGGGTCAGCTGAAAATTTTGCTCTCATTTTTGACCTGATCCCTTAGAACAGGGAAGTGTGACTATTTAAATGTCATGTAGTTTCTAACATCTGTGAGCTTAGGAGACCATCTTTTTGTAAGCTTGACCTGAACTTTCAGTTGTGTCAAGAAGCTATGTATAGTGTATGTCAAATGAACGACCGTCTCATATTAAAATTCATTCAGGGTCTGGGCATTCTATTTGCCCAGATGGAAACTTTGTCTTGGCTATGGAGTGGTTGTAACTAATAGAGCATATGGTATAAAGGTTTATAGATGTACTTTTGATGATTCACCAACACTCTCATAGTCCAGCTCTCTTTTTTGGCCTCTGCAATTTAGATCCTGCCAGTAGTCAAAAACTTGCATAGGGCGGGTTTTGGCATAATGATAACATTACTCTATTGTGACTTGAGCGTGGTAAGATTGAGTCTTGAAAGCAGTTTTTTTTAGTATAAGCATCTCATGTATTGAAATGGTGGGAGTTCAGTGCATGTGGTTGTTCTGTAGTGAAAAAACTGGTGTTGAACATCGTAAAGTTATAGTTGTTGCATACGAGCTTCCCCCTAATCCTCATTGGTAAAGTGGGTAAGGAGTAGTACAAAAGTATGCGTTTTTCACTTTCATTGTGCACCATGTTTTAAAACAGTATGAACCATATGAGTCTAGGGTGTCACGGTTGGTATCATCAGGGGTGTTTTAAAATCGTGCAAAGCTGAAAATATTGTATATTTGGTAACCACAGCTTGTAGCTAATAAAGCACAATTGGAGCAGGCTGGGTTTGTTGAACATGTCTTTCCTGACCTGCAAAACCTAACTTTGGTTGGTAGCCATCAAAATTGAGACAGAGTGGAATTGTTAATGAAATCATCAGGCTCGTCTAATATTTTAAGATCTCAAGTTTTATGTTGCATCAAATGAATGGAATCTGAACATGTTTTGATAACATACAAATACTTACGCAATGCGACGAATGTTAGTGTTGTAGATGTCTTGTATTCCGTTTTGATTTTTAACATTTGTATTGAACTTGTACTATTGCTCTTTGTACTTGGACGTAGCCTTTGTTTTGTATCAAACATTATACCATATCATGTAGGCCATGAGTATAGCAGATTTTCATCGACAAAAACATTTATTTCCCAAAGTTCCTATCAGTATCCTACTTTATATTTGCAATTCAGTCCTTTCAACAAGACCAGAAAGTCGTTAAATTCGAAGGAATAATCGACAAAAGACTGGACACATAGGAATATTCGTTTGGCTGGCTACCAATGATGCCTTTCACTTTTGTTCTTAGCTTTGTTCGTGTTAATATAATTGAAATAAAATTGAGAAGTAAAATACAAAATAATAAATTTGATAAAAAATAATTCAGGCTGAGATGTGAGTATCTTGCTCTCTTCAAAGAGATTAAAACTTTATGTGAATGGCAAAATACAAAACTGGTGCATCAAACCTTCTTGTATGATGGATACAATAGTCCGACAACAACTTTGTCGTATGACTCTAACCAATTCTACACAGGTGGTTAAGTCTAAAGTTCTACCAATAGGAATACATTTTTTTAGCTTCAACTCTCGAATGTGCGTAGTAGTGTTTAAGTGTTGGATAATTGTTTTTCAAAATTTCAAATGCATATTTTAGAGATTCTATTTATAAGTTCTTAGAACCTTTTAGAGTTCACGTATACAACTCATTATGTATACATAATATATATGCATCTAATTAACATGATTCATATGTTGAAGATGATGAATACATGTATTAAATAATATTCCTGTACTTGTATGTGTACAATACACTATATATAAAGATTCATATATGTATATTATACATTAGTATAATAAATTATATATAATGTTATACACTAATATAATGAATTATATATAATATTAAAATGCACCAGCAGTTCGTAATTATTTCTCAACTCGTAATATGGGAGTCATCCCGACCACGACCAAGTAAATATTCCTCAGCTCAACAATTTTGTCCTTCACCNTATAAGTTCTTAGAACCTTTTAGAGTTCACGTATACAACTCATTATGTATACATAATATATATGCATCTAATTAACATGATTCATATGTTGAAGATGATGAATACATGTATTAAATAATATTCCTGTACTTGTATGTGTACAATACACTATATATAAAGATTCATATATGTATATTATACATTAGTATAATAAATTATATATAATGTTATACACTAATATAATGAACTATATATAATATTAAAATGCACCAGCAGTTCGTAATTATTTCTCAGCTCGTAATATGGGAGTCATCCTGACCATGACCAAGTAAATATTCCTCAGCTCAACAATTTTGTCCTTCACCATACATTTGAGGCATCGAAGTTCTTGATTTGAATCATTTCCGATACATTTTTCTTTGATTTGTTATCGCTATTAGGTCATTAACCCTAATGTATTTATGATAGACCTGTTTGAATATAATACGTAAATTTATATGAGAAAGAGCTTGAGAAAAAAATATCTAAAAATTCTCGTAGAGTGGAGTAAGTTTGAGGTAAATTATCTTCACGGCAATTGGGGAAGACAAAGTCCAGAGAGATGAGAATTCAGAAATCAGAAGCACAACGTTGGTACAACAACAAGAAGAAGAAAAAAACATACTTCAAAGATATGGCTATGAAGGTACATCACATGGAAACCAAGGAAAGAGGGGCTGGGAATCTAGAACACAATTAATGTTGTAGAGAACAAAGGTTTGGTATAGAAAATAATAGGTCAAAAAAAGGAGGCAGACAACTTGGGTTGGGCTCTGTTGAGTGTTTTAACGGGTCTTTCTTTTTTTTTTAAACGCTAAAAAAAGTTTTGGGTCAACTTACATGTATCTTGATTAATTTTCTCTCTGTTCTATTCAAATCCATCCATACCAGGACTATCATATTTATGAGGGATAAATTCCATATGGCTTAACCCTAAAGATTTCCTGAAGTTCGGACTTAGGTCGTCTGACTCGTCATTCTTCCCATTTAGGCTACCATTTGGGGTTAATGAGACCTGTTTTCACCACAACTAACAGCTGTTATTGGGTGGGGGTTCAATTGAAGAAATCTATTTCTCTAACTTGAGATATATAGGTTAGCGATTAGCTTAATAGTCACCGTCTCGTTGTTGGATTTTTAGGTCATGGGTTTGAACTTCGTTATTCCTCTTCGCTATAATAGTGCCAGACAAAAAAAAAAAAACTTTTATAAAGCAACCGGTGATGAACTAGCTAGTTCTCAAATATGGGTTATAAGCAGCTGAAAATGGTTGGTGAAGGGTATCCAAAAAAAAAAA